ATTAGAATTGTTTTCGATATATCATATTGGATTTGTCGTCTCCAAAAACATCCCTACTGAATATGCACCTTCGATTTATATATATTGAGTGCGTGTGCAGCAGACCAAACCGCAGACAATAATGTACAATAATTATATAATAGAGCTATTACCTGAACACGAAATTGCCTTCGTCAAAGCACAGCAATTTTTTCTCCTTTTCTCCCCTTTTCAAAAATTTACTTGATGGGTTTTCGATGCGAATTATGGTCTGCAGATGCGGTAGGCCGAAATGCAACCCCCTTGGCTGAAAAACCGGGCCAAAAAAAGGGCAGAGGAGTCTTCGGGCCAAAAACTGTCACAGCAAATATTTTTCGACATCCCATCCGAAATGTGCCGGAATCAGTCAGTCGTGGCTTAAGAGCTTCATCCCCCCACACACATGAAGCGGGCAAGGCAGTGGAAAAAGGACTCGGGGCTGGGACTGGGCCAGATGAAGGCAAACGACCGCACTAAAGCTATTTTAACAAGGAAAGGGACTGGAAACAACAGCGGCGGGCTCCCAGAGCCAAAGAAAAAGGGGAAAAACTCCATTTACGCTTGCTTAGTTCCTTTTGGTATAAAGTTTAAGCCTAATCCAGCATAAAATCAACTGGTAAATTTTTTATGTGCCCCTGCCCGCCGATTCCCCCATCAAAAAGATTAAAGAGTTAAATGTTATACCCATTGCGAGTGGCAGGGAATCGAGCCTAAAACTATATACTGGCATCGAATATGATTATAGGGGTTCATTCATGCAAGCTCTTATTTTCTGTTTTTTATCTCTCTATGCAACATAAGCCTGTTATGATGGAAAGGACATGTGATCTAATCAATTGGCTTACAATAAATTTGTCGATTGAACCACGCCCCAGTTTACAGAACTTAGCTGTGTGCACTGCACGAAATCAGCAATAAAATACTCTTCATAGATATTTATGTTGCTGTTTTTAACACAAACTAAATATTTTTATAAAAATCATTAATTTTCAGTTCATTTTCCTGCAAGCAAAGACATTTAATTTTTTAAAATTTATGTCAATGGTTAAGCGATTTTAAACTAAAATCTTATTTTTTATAGAGATCACAGATTACATATTTTAAACGCAGTTAGCCAAAATGCCGAGCCCAACAACAAGTTAAGCGGCATTTGAAAATTTGTTTGTTTTTGTTTTTGTTTTTGTTATACACCTATTCACTATAAAGTTTATATTATGACTCCTAATATTTACAAAGATATCACGCGTTTATTAACATCGAAAGCCACAAATATTCCTGGAGGGAAAATGTGGACTGGTATAAAATACAACTAGATATACGTCAAGTTAAAAACAACTCTTGCTTGTCGAGTTATGACAGCTTCTAGCCAATTGTAACCAATCCTCAAAATAAATATAATACAAGTAAAAAGGAATCTGATCTTTGACAAGTTGCATTCTGAAGAGATAGAGTCTTTAGAATGGAAAATACAAATTCACATTAAGCCAGAAAGCAGCAATTAAGTAAATAATGAAAGTCTACTGGGTTTTTTGAATAATATATAACATTTTTTAATTTCAACACAAAAAATTGAGTTAACTTAACTCTACACTTTTGGTAATAATATAAAGAAACATATATTTAAATTAATTTATATTAGCTACCTATGTACATTTTTTTCTGTCAGTGTAGGGCTCGGCATGTGCATATGGACTTGACCAGACCCGGGTCCGGATTCTGGTCCAGGTTCTGTTCCTGGTTCAGGTGCGGTGCGTGCAGCTGATGGCGGAAGCACGTCTGCCGGCCATTTTGTTTGGAATGTGAAATCAAACCGGAAATGTTAAAATATGCAGCGTGCCTCTGACTCTCGACCCGACCACACCCCTGGCATCCGTCCTGGCTCGCCCTCCGCCTCATTTGCATTGTCCTGGATGGATGTTGACGTTGGCTGGTGTCGACAGGCGGACTCTGGGCCACATTGAATGCCATCTGCAGTATGCCAGAGATGGCCATGGCTCGACTTTAAATAAAATACAGAATTCGAGTTCGCATTTGGGAAGCTTCTTAAGCTAAGCTTCCGGTCAGTCTGTATCGTCGTTGTCCGGCCTCGGCGATTAGCAGTGAATCGGCTCAGGACAGAAACAATCGGCTCACTCGAACGATAAATGCTAACACCGCAATTAAATTATGAACCATGCACGTCAACACAAAACATTTCATCCAGCAAATTGAATCTCGGTCCGCAGCAAAGCATTTGAATTGAAAAAATCAATTGGGCAAATGTGCTGAAATATCCATTTTTGTTTTAACCTGTACAGGTTTCTTGATAGCAATAACATTTTAGGCGTTTAAGCTTAACTTTTCGTGTATAAGAAAATACAAAAAGACTTTTTATGTATTACTTTTGTTGGACTTTCAACAATTTAAATACTTTAAAGGGAACTGGGGTTGTTTTTCCTTAATTTTTTGAAAAGAGTATATCTTTTAATTTGTCTTTAGAAACCAACTAGTCAAAATTCCATTAAATAGCAAAAAGCTAATTTTTTATCAAAACGTAATACGTAATCATCAAGGTATTTTATATTGGAATTTTATCTGCTGCCCGGCAGAAAAAGTTTAATTATAGGCCCTAGAAACGAGTTCATATTTCGATTAGCAATTATTCTTAATTTTTTGCAGGTATTTCTCAATGAAACTCTGCATCTTCATCTATCCATCTGGTTCCTGATGCTTCCACTTCTTCCTTTTCACCTGACATATTTCTGTCCAACGCACAGGTAAATATAATTTCGTTGGAAAAAAACACTTTCAACTTTCTCTGGGGGGCCATTGATCCGGCCTGCATCAAAAGTTGCACCTGACTTCGATGTAGTTTTTCCCTTTTTTCTTTGCTATTATAAACTGATTTATTGGTTCATTTCCAGGCGCCTGGCTGAAGGACTAAGTGCAGCCAGCTCAGTAAAAGTTGAGTGGAGAAAGGAACAGAGTTGTAAGGCAGAGGCAGACAAGGTAAATTAGATTTGGCACTGCCTTGATGATGATGCATGCGACAAGTAAGATAAGTTTCTGGGGCAGATTAAAGGGTTGGGTGTGTGGCAGTGGCACTATATGTAGGTGGCGAGGTGCAGCAAGCTGAAACAATAAGAGCAACAGACGGCGAACGTAACTTTAAGCCGATATCAAATCTTTCAATAATTAATATGGCCCGCAGCCACCCACAGGGAAAGGTACAAAACGGCGTCGAACTGGCTGGGCAAACAAACGCCGGTTCATAAATAAACACACAGACGTTTCAGTTGGTAAAGTTTTCCATGCCTCGCACACACACTGCCAAAAATAAACACCGTATGTAAATTCATAAGTTTACACGTCACAAAAACCAAAACTTTAGGTGACTCAAAAATAGTATTGGGTCTATACTTCTACATATTTTATTTATACAGCAGGCTTTAAATATGTTATACTCATCCATGATTAGTAGGAGTATGTAATAACAATAATATCAATTTTTAATATAACTTTAGGAAAAAAGAACATTTTTTTATTAATTTTTAATTAATATGTTAATATAACATTCCTTTCATATAATATTGTATTATAAAATTAACAAGAGCAAAATATATACAAAATATTAAAATAAATATATCTCTTTTACAAAATTAACAGCACAAAATAAACATGTTTCCTAAAATCTTATTTCAACTTATACAAAAAAAATAAATTCTAAGCCTCTTCGTAAAACACTAAGTGCTTTTAGCTTCCATCTAATTTGTTTCGCATGGAATTTTATAAAGAAAATAATAATATTATACATAGACATTTCTTTTCAGAACTTGTTTTACTATACCAACATGTAGGTATTGTAGTTTTCTGCCAGCTTAAGTTTTTTCGCCAAGTGAACTTCTGGCACACATCAGCACGTGTTCATTTCCGGCTACAGCATTTACCGTGCATATCCTGCCCGGTATCCTTGGCCAACGCTCCTGCTGTTCTGCTCTGGTCTGGCCTGCTCTGTTGTGTTGTATCCTGTAGCTGTTGCTGTAGCTTTTGCAATGGTGCCTGCCTAAGCCGTGCTCCATCGTCGATACAGAGAGCTTTCAGATTTAATTTTAATTAGGTGCTATTGAATGTATAAATTTTTCAGCTGCTGTCGCCGTTGTGCGTCCTTCGTCCTCCGCCCCCTTTTTTCCCCCCTCCTCCCCCCACACACCGCACAGTGAGAACTTTCCCAGCCACCGGGAAAAGTTTTCAGGGGAGAGTCCCATCGGAGGGCCTGCCTGTTGCCTGACACTAATAACAATAATCGCAAATTGTATTTTCATGAATTTTCAACTCGTAATTACTAATATTTCAATATACATACAAATACATAATCTATATACACACCACCCCATCACGCGCCCCAATAGAAGCCAAAACTGGCGCGTAATTAAAATTTGTTGTCCACGCCTACTGTGAAATCGTGGGTTGGGATGGTCCGGGTTTGGGGATTTACCTTTTACAATGAATAACAATGAACAATGTACATTAATTTTCCGTATTAATTGTTTATTTGCGCAGGCTGCATATTAAAATTTCTGCTAATCAATAATAAACCCCATTTGAAACAGATTATTTTTCGTTGGGATTGCGTTTTCATGGGTGGTGGGGAAAGTCTTTTGGGAAAGGTTAGACTAATTGAGTTTTAAATGATTCTTAAAGCTTTCGGATAAAGCTGACTTAAAGGAGAGTTTTTTACCCTAGTGAAAATGTTTGTAATTCTTATCTTATTGGTTAGTCTTATGAATATATTATAATTATTAATAAATTTTTTATAACTAGCTAGTACAAATTTTATTCATTCGTTTTTATAGAAAAAATTCTTACAAATTCTAACCAAACTTAGATTTAAATCAATTAAACTAAAACATATTATTAGATTGCCTTTTAAAAATGTTGTTAAAAGCACTATCGTCTCACTTAAAAATTAAATAAAGTAACACAGTGTTCAAAGAAATAAAGTTCATGCTCAAAAAAAGTTTTTGTAGTACCGGGAAAGGAAATTCTAGGCGTTTAAAGCACAATATGTACTTAATCTTAGGTTTTCTGATTGTAATTGCGATTCTGTCCCTCGTTTTGAATGTCAGTTCCCTGGACAAAGCCACCGTTGTGAAGCTGCGTAAGTTCGTGAATTGCGAGGACAAGAGTTACAAGTCGAGCAAGGGGATATATCGCGACTACTGGGTGCTGGAGAACTATATAATGGCAGATCACGGTCCTTTATCGTGCTTCGCAAATGTGACCTACACCAGTCACGCAGACTACACGTATCTGGATAATGTGGTGCCTCTGCTGGAACGCTGGCGATCGCCCCTCAGCCTGGCCATATATGCCCCCGGCTCCGATTTCATCCCCACTCTGGAGAGCATCCTGTACTTGCTGCAGTGCCATCCCGGCAGGGAATTGGTTCGCGAGCTGACCAGCTTCCACCTGTACTTCAACGTGCAGCACCTGCCCCAGGTGGTGCCCTCGCCCAAAATGGCTCTGAAAAGGAAGGCCAACTGCAACGCCCCACCGCCTTATGTGAATGTGGCCAAGAAGACCTTGTACAAGTCTCGCACAAAGCTGGATTATCCCGTCAATATGGGACGCAATATTGCGCGCAAGGCTTCGCTGACCCATTTTGTCCTGGCCTCGGACATCGAACTATATCCCTCGCCAGGATTGGTGCCCGCCTACTTGCGTTTCTTGAGCCGACGTGTAATGTTTATTTTCACATTTAGATTATTTCACACTATTCCTAAAGTACCACCTGTTACCATTTGAGTTCCGTGTTTTTTTTCCAATCTGATCACAAACAAAAAGTCCTGTCCTAGACCGTTATTTTACATTTTTCGATTTAGACGACTACCTATTAAAAAAAAACTAGTTGCGTTTCTCTTCTGAAGTTTTAGATTAATTCGCCATGCGTTTAAGCATTAGGAAACAAACTTCCTGATACCACTCACCTTATTCAATCCTATGCTGAAGTTTCACTTAAAAGTTACAGTATTATTCTAGCTTCAAGACATTTAAAAGAAAAGAAAATAGTTCCTAATGTAAGAACAGTTTTATCAAATGTTGAGCTTGTCCTCTTAAACATATATTGTCCAAAGCACAAAAAACAATTTCTATATGAAAGTAGAAACGGTACAAACTTTTTAAAGACAGTTTTTCTAAATAATAGAGAACCTCATTCTAAAATTAATTTCTAAAAATCTCTTTGTTAAAACTGTGTAAAATGAAACTTACGCAACATACATAAATATTTTCTACAGTTTAGAATAGTTTCATTTTTTACCTTTTCTAAAACATGGAAAATATTTTTAAAATGGTGAAAATATTTATAATTTCTATGATTTTGCTTTAATGACTCAAAAATTGCTATAAAAGACAAAAAGATAATAAAATTTAAAAATATATATAATTGTATTATGTTTGGTTACAATTAAGCACTATAAAGGGTATTTGAAAGTGATTTTCATTTTGATTTAACTATATTCCTAGGTAATTGGAAGGCCGGGGCAGCAGCCCACATCGCCGGTGGTGCATGTGCTGCGTATTTTTGAGGTGATGTCCAACGTTTCCGTGCCGAACACCAAGACGGAGTTGCAAAAGCTGTTGAAATCGAACGAAGCTATTCCGTTTCACATGGAAATCTGTGCGGTGTGCCACAGAGGACCGAAGCTGGACGAGTGGGTGAATGCCACCGAGGTCTCCGCCGATCTGAGCGTCTTCAATGTGGGTCATCGCTCGGAATCGGACAATATGTGGGAGCCGGTCTTCATAGGCACCGTCGAGGATCCGCCGTACGACGAGCGGTTGAGCTGGGAGGGCCAGAGGGACAAGATGACGCAGGCGTACGCCATGTGCGTCCTGGACTACGAGTTTCACATCCTGGACAACTCCTTTCTGGTCCACAAGCCGGGCATCAAACAACCCGATAAGAGCAAATCAATTTTCCCACAGACCCGCCGCACCAACGACGCACTCATCAATAAAAAGATCTCCCGGGAGCTGCGCATCATGTACGGTTCTCGAGCGGGTTGTGTCCTTTAGAAGTGCAATGTGTATTATTCTAAATTCGATGTTTATTTATATGTATGTCAAATTTGGCTATTATGTTAACAAAAATAATTTTTTTTGTTACATTTTTAAATTTTCTATAATAAAAGATTTAAGACCAAAATCGGCAAACCGTAGCCAAAGTTTATATACCCTTGCATCTGTTACCAAAATTAAATGTTCAATATTTCGATTTCGATTTGGATGGCCGATCGTTCCAGCTATTTGATATAGTCTTCCGATTATTATAAAATTAAATCAACGAAGTTATAATTTTATTTCCCTTTGTTTTCGATTGTTTCTATGGGAACAAGTCCGTTTCGACTTATACCTCCTCCATTAAAAAATAGTCTTTTTGCAATGTTAAATCCAAATAACTTTAAGAATGAGTCACTAGTTCGCGTAAGAACGGACAAACAGACGGACATGAATTGATCTACTTGCCTGGTGATACTGATCCAGAATATATATACTTTTTAGGGACGAAAATGTGCTCTTTATTGCAATGCATTCTTTTGGCTGGGGCTATAAAAACACATTCAAATGGATTTTTGCATTTGTTTAGATTATATGGTCGGGATATTATTACATGTTACATTTTTAAATTATTAACAAACAAAAATTCATCGTAAGTCTTCTTATTTTAATAAAAATAAGCCAATTACAAGGCACTTAAAATTCGTAGTAGCTCAGGGCAAAACCCTTTTCCGCTTCCATCAATGTTTGCTTAACTTTTTCTGCTGTGCAGTTAACAAATAAATCAACAGCAAACGCAACAGCATCAATAGTATAAAATATGAACTGCAAACCTAAATAAATATTTGTTATTTGCTGCATTTTACTGGTTTTGTGTGTTTTGTATGCCGGACCCATGAAAGAGGGAAATTTTTAGCTTAATTGAATATCAATTCATTTTAAAATGCAAGGAATAAAAGGAGGAGTGGGATAGTAAAAAGAAATCGAATAGTAGATGAGGCCTTTATGATTTCCGAGTGCCGCGATTTTTAGGGGCTGATTGGAGCGGCGGCCAAAGGGTTATGGAATATTTATAGCGCAAATTATTAGCATACAAAATGCAATTGATGCCCTCCAGTGATTAATTAAAATGTTTCCGAGCGCATATAAATTCATATTGTTTATTGCGGTTCATGCACAGACACAATGCACTCGTGTGAGTGCCCAGTGCGAGGTCATATGCCATATTTGCGGTCCACTGCTCTCTGCGGATGACCCAAGTGCCGGTGTTGGACTCCTCGTGGCCTATTTATCTGCACGGGGATCCATCGTTTTTCGCCTGTGTGGTTTGATAATTTTGGCTCAAGGGCCCGAACTCCAATTCATAAGTGCCTCAGAGCCTTCATATTAAACTAACGAAATTACTATTCGAATTAGTTGTGTTCAATGAGTTTGTTTTGTGGCCAATACTTATGACTTGTTTGGAAAGTTGTGACACTAGACAAAACAATTTAAATAACATATGAATTTAATAGTTTTATAAAGCATTTTAATTTTGTTTTAATTTGTATTACTTACAAATTCAAAACTGTTAAGGAAAATAAAAAATAAAATTATTAACAGCCACAAAATTAATAACAAAGGAAGTCTACCTGTAATGAGATAAACTCTAGGCTAAATTAAATTTATATATATAGATTAGCTATTTGAAATTTTTTTAAAATTCTTTTTGGGTTTAATATTTTTTTCAAATAATTACATACGAAAAAAGCTAAATTAATTTAAAACAAGAAAGGAAGCAAACTTCGGCAAGCCGAAGCTTATATACCCTTGCAGTTATTAAAAGCTCATTAAAAATATATATACTTTATAGGGTTGGAAATTTCCCCTTCACTGCGTTGCAAATTTTCTTGTTTGTTTAAATAAAATGGTAGTGCCTTAAGTAAAATTCAAAAATATAGGTTTCTATATAACGTAATAACAATCATGACTTTGAATTTATTTATTTTTAAACTTAAAGGTATTTAAATAAAGTTTTTAATAATATAATGTTATAGTTATTAATTAATTATTATTCAATATTTTGTTAAAAAGCTATAAACAAAACAGGAGGAATGGCTTCGGCTTAAAGATCAGGTGTTATCAACATCTTTTTATGGTGAACTGAGACTTAACAACATCTCTTAGTTGCCAATGCTGATAACGTTCGTGACGTGTCTGTGACTTGATCAAAAGACCCGAAGGCCATCAAAACATCAATACATCGGACTACATCATTTATTCGTTAGGAACAGCACGAAACTAAATAACACTTAACAAGTCGTTTTGAAAAAAAAAAAGATTTTAAACTTTTAATAATGTTTTACAAACTTTTTATTTTTATAGAAATTAATTATATATTAAACGGAGGTCTTAAAAAAAATCGACTTTTTTCTGAAAGTTCATAACCACAGAAACAATTCTATTGTCTAAAATTTAAAGTAACTGAATATTCCTTCTTGCAAGGTAATAATTTCAAAAAACAAAAATTCCTGTGCTCTGCAGTAAAATTTATTGTATAATGGCTCTTTTTCGCTGAGTGCATAGTCCGTCAAGGAAAAAGACTTGGAAGCTCGAGTACGAATGATTATCTGCGGACAGTATCAGGTATTTTTTGGCCGCCGTCGTATGTCCGAAATCAGTAGCAAATCGACTCGGAAACAATCAACACGCAAACACAATTCAAATCGAAAATGAAAATAGTGTGGTTACTTGCGGTATTTATTTACATTTTAATGCAAGTTTTTCCAAATCAGGCTGTGGATAGGCTTCGTCCTGAGTGCCGAAAGATACGTTTTGACGGAAAGTGTTTAGATAAACAGCAACCTAAGAAACCTATTATGGAACCATAAAGTAACTAAATAAATAAGCTACTGCAAAATAGCTCAGTAATTCTGTATTTAATATTTTAGATGCAGATTCAGTTCAACATAAACATCCTGTGGAATGCAACATTATCCATGCAAATCACTAACTTTTTTTTTAAATATCTATGTTAATAAAAAGTTAATAAAGATTTAAATTGGAAGTCTTTGCTTGGATATTATTAAGAACACATATAAAACATTTTAAAATTTATTAACTCTACGAAGCTGGAAAAGAAGCCATTTTATCTTGGCCCATGAGTTTTTGTTTTTCCACTTTCTTAAATAGAAATTCCAATTGTCAAATTTAACATAAAAAGTAGTGCTTTAAGTAAAAATGCAAAAATGTAAGTTTATATAGAATTTAAAAATTATGATGATTTTGAATTAATTTATTCAAAAACTTTAATGTATTTACATAATATTTTTAAATAAAACTGATAAAGTATATTATTATTAAACAAGAAAGAAAGCATTTTCAGCAAGCCTAAGTTTATATACCCTTGCAGTTCTTACAAGACGACTACATTTCGATTTCAATACCTATATTACTAAAATCAATGAAGATATGTCAAATTTGGGCTGCATTTTGCCAACCTGGTGACTGAAATTATAATACCCTCTGCAAGGGTATAAATATATCTATAATTTATTTGAAAATTGGTTAAATAGAAAATCAACTTGATTTAAAGCAAATTTTTTATTTTTTTTTAAATTATTATAAAAATTTAATTCTTTAAATGTATCTACGTAACTTTATGACATGTCAATATCGATACGGCCCCTAATACAATTTAATTTAATGGTAACAGACTTATCCTATATCACTTAAATCAATCTTGTAAAGAAACAAACTTTGAAACTGCTTATTCAAATGACCTGCCTCATAATCCGTTTTTGATTCGGCTGTCCCATAACCGGCATATATCCGAAAGTGTATGAACCCAGGCCTGCGGCTTGTTCGGAGCCCAATAAAGTTGAAAATATCCACTGTTGTCCCCTGGCAAAACATAAATATGCGAAAAGCATAAAAAACTGACCAGAGCGGGACGCAGTTGAGTGTCCTTCTCATTCCCGTCACAATGACATGGCAACTTGGCGAAACAAAGTGAGACCAAAAGTTTTCCAAAAAGACAAATGACCCCGAAAGTTGAAACTAACAGTGACTAAATGGAGACAAGAGCAAAAAATTTGTGTGAGCCCTGGGTGGAGCTGTCCAAGAGGGGAAGGGGCAAGGCGCAGGGGCAGGGGGTGTTCATTGGAGGCTACCAGAATTGGATGGATGAAGGAGTACGAAAAACGAAAGCAGCTGAAGCAGCATGAAAATCTTTTAATTGCTGCCCCCAGTAGTCGAGCAAGCAAAAGCTTTCCATTTGTCTTCCAGCCAACTGCTGACATTGTTGGATCTGCCCCAAAAAGTGGCACAGACGCAGCTCCGATTAAGTCCACTGTGTGGGAAAGAGTCTGGGACAAAGCCTGGAGCCGCGTGAAATTGCAAAACTGTTTCACCTGAATGCCTGATTCCCTGTACCAGCTGGCCATTCTCAAAACACATCTGAGACTTCTGCTCGATTAGACAATGACAAATACGTAAATAAGAAACTAGTTGGCATCAACAAAATGGTCGAATCGAAATGTACCTGCTGGAAAATTTCCCAGATGAGCTATTAAATTGCCAAGAGCGACAAATTTGTAGATGATTGCATTTCAAAATATGGAAATGATAATGTAAACAAGAAAGGAAAGCTAACTTCGGGCGGAGCCGAAGTTGATATACCCTTGCAGAATACTCTGTAAATTATATTCTCCAAAATTATTCATATGATGCATTCTTAATACTCATAAAAAATCCGAACTTCCTAACTTTAACAACAACAAAGTTATGGCATTTCCAATCGTTCAGTTATATGGCAGCTATAGGATATAGTCGGCCGATCCTCATGAAATTTGGTAGGTCGGATTGATTGGCCAAAAATAAAATCCATAGAAAATCCCAACTTTCTAACTTTACAAACACCAAAGTTATGGCATTTCCGATCAATCAGTTATATGGCAGCTATAGGATATAGTCGGCCGATCCCGGCCGTTCCGACTTATATACTGCGTGCAAAGAAAAGAAGGGTGTGTGCAAAGTTTCAATCCGATAGCTTTAAAACTGAGAGACTAGTTTGCGTAGAAACAGACAGACGGACAGACGGACAGACGGACAGACGGACATGGCTATATCAACTCAGGAGGTGATCCTGATCAAGAATATATATACTTTATAGGGTCGGAGATGTCTCCTTCACTGCGTTGCACACTTTTGACCAAAATTATAATACCCTCTGCAAGGGTATAAATATAGATACATTTTTTCCCCCCTTTTTGTGGCATTAAATAATAACATACAAAAGCAATAATTTTCTACAAAATAAAAGCAATTCCAACTTTGCCGTACCCGTTTTTATACCCTTGCAGAGGGTATTATAATTTTGGTCAAAAGTTTGCAACGCAGTGAAGGAGACATCTCCGACCCTATAAAGTATATATATTCTTGATCAGGATCACCTCCTGAGTTGATATAGCCATGTCCGTCTGTCCGTCTGTCCGTCTGTCCGTCTGTCCGTCTGTCTGTCCGTCTGTCTGTCCGTCTGTCTGTTTCTACGCGAACTAGTCTCTCAGTTTTAAAGATATCGAATTGAAACTTTGCACACACCCTTCTTTCCTTTGCACGCAGTATATAAGTCGGAATGGCCGGGATCGGCCGACTATATCCTATAGCTGCCATATAACTGAACGATCGGAAATGCCATAACTTTGGTATTTGTAAAGTTAGGAAGTTGGGATTTTCTATGGGTTTTATATTTGGCCAATCAATCCGACTTACTAAATTTCATAAGGATCGGCCGACTATATCCTATAGCTGCCATATAACTGATTGATCGGAAATGCCATAACTCTGCTGTTTGTTAAGTTAGGAAGTTGGGACTTTCTATGGGTTTTATATTTGGCCAATCAATCCGACTTACCAAATTTCATAAGGATCGGCCGACTATATCCTATAGCTGCCATATAACTGATTGATCGGAAATGCCATAACTCTGCTGTTTGTTAAGTTAGGAAGTTGGGACTTTCTATGGGTTTTTTATTTGGCCAATTAATCCGACTTACCAAATTTCATAAGGATCGGCCGACTATATCCTATAGCTGCCATATAACTGATTGATCGGAAATGCCATAACTCTGCTGTTTGTTAAGTTAGGAAGTTGGGACTTTCTATGGGTTTTTTATTTGGCTAATTAATCCGACCTACAAAATTTCATAAGGATCGGCCGACTATATCCTATAGCTGCCATATAACTGAACGATTGGAAAAGCCATAACTTTGATGTTTTTAAAGTTAGGAAGTTGGGTTTTTTTTTTGAGTATTAAGAATGCATCATATGAATAATTTTGGAGAATATAATTTACAGAGTATTCTGCAAGGGTATATCAACTTCGGCTCCGCCCGAAGTTAGCTTTCCTTTCTTGTTTCATTTGGTTTCTGTTGGATATTCTATGACAAATTAATTATGTTATCAGTTAATATATTTAATGCCATAATACATAAATAACAAAACATTTTTATACCCTTGCAGAGGGTATTATAATTTTGGTCAAAAGTGTGCAACGCAGTGAAGGAGGCATCTCCGACCCTATAAAGTATATATATTCTTGATCAGGATCACCTCCTGAGTTGATATAGCCATGTCCGTCTGTCCGTCTGTCTGTTTCTACGCAAACTAGTCTCTCAGTTTTAAAGCTATCGAATTGAAACTTTGCACACACCCTTCTTTCCTTTGCACGCAGTATATAAGTCGGAACGGCCGGGATCGGCCGACTATATCCTATAGCTGCCATATAACTGATTGATCAGAAATGCCACAACTCTACTGTTTGTTAAGTTAGGAAGTTGGGACTCTCTATTTGTATTATATTTGGCCAATCAATCCGACGTACCAAATTTCATAAGGATCGGCCGACTATATCCTATAGCTGCCATATAACTGATTGATCGGAAATGCCATAACTTTGGTGTTTGTAAAGTTAGAAAGTTGGGATTTTCTATGGGTTTTATATTTGGCCAATCAATCCGACCTACCAAATTTCATAAGGATCGGCCGACTATATCCTATAGCTGCCATATAACTGAACGAATCGAAATGCCATAACTTTGGTGTTTTAAAGTTAGGAAGTTTGGATTTTTTATGAGTATTAAGAATGCATCATAGGAATAATTTTGGAGAATATTATTATAGAGAATTCTGCAAGGGTATATCAACTTCGGCTCCGCCCGAAGTTAGCTTTCCTTTCTTTTTTTTTTATTATTTTATAGGAGCCTTATCTTGAACATTTTTATACCCTTGCAGAGGGTATTATAATTTCAGTCAAAAGTTTGCAACACAGTGAAGGAGACATTTCCGACCCTATAAAGTATATATATTCTTGATCTGTCCGGCCGTCCGTCTAAAACGAATTGGGCTGGTTAAAGGTGGGTAACAAGAACTACAGACATTGTACATCAAGTCGAATAAATGAAATAAAATCGTTGGCGTTTTTTGTTAAAATATATAATGTTTGGAAATAACAAAAATCTAAAGAATTTATACCTTTTCTTAATTGTTTCGGAGAATATCTTCGACAAACATAAAACTGACATTTGTATCAAATTGCATTTTTTGATCAAAAAACCACCGCACAGTCAACATGTAATCGCCAGTTGGAAACGGAAGCCGTAGTAGTTTGTACCTCAGATAAAAGTCCTTTACGATCTGTGAACCCTAAAATAATAGTTAGTGAGATGTAGAACAAATGTATTGAAACACTTACCATATAGGGGCATGTGTGGTTAAAATTTGAAAATTCCTTAAAAAGACCGAAGACAAGGTTTGCAAATGGAATGGAACGGTGTCGCATGTATTGACACCCATCGAATTTTAGGTCAAATAGCCACGGTTTGTAGCCATTGGCCCTCTTAAACATTTGTGCATGAAGGGTTATATCATAAGCTGGGTGTAAGACCGTTCCGTTGATATTAAGAAGCACTTTGTTTCGACTCACAGCCTTTAAGCGACAGTTGTGAAACACAAACCAAGATGTGTTGTAGCTCTCACAAATAACGTTCGTAAACTTAAATACGACCGCGTTCTGACAATATGAATTAGTATTCACTCCATATATGAGTTAGTTTAACGGAAGGACTTACGTTCAATCCTGTGTTATAAGTTAATAATACTCCGCAGAGAGCCGGAATGATCAGTAAGGCCCGCATCGCGCTTAAAATTGATCTCGAATAACATCAGAAAAGTTTTTCTAAACTGTTTCATTGTTTAATTGCCCCTTAATTACTTCCATCGCTTGCAATTACTTTATAATTATCATGTATTTATTTCTTATTTATAAAATGAGTATTTGTCCATCTTTCTCTCTAATTGTTGTTTCCAGAATGATGCGTTTGACTTAAACATTGTGACTTTACACTAATTTACGCTTTATATTTTTAATTAAGGTTATCAGTCAAAATAATCAACACTGCCCGACAAATTCAGTTCATTATACTTGCAGAGGGTATTATAATTTCAGTCAAAAGTTTGCAACGCAGTAAAGGAGACATATTCGACCCTATAAAGTATATATATTCTTGATCAGCAATACCAGGAGAGTCGATTTAGCCATGTCCGTCCGTCTATCCCTCCGTTTCTACACAAACTAGTCCCTCAGTTTTAACGCTATGCCCGTATAAAGTATAAGACCCTTATCGATGTACCACTTTATTGATATTAGGTATTCCCCAAAGGGAAACGGGACTGGAACTCATTTTCCCTGTGAGATGGAAACCCATTGCGTAAACTGGATCCTGTAAAATAAATATTTTGGGTAAATTATATGGTCTTGGAATAATAGGACCTTTACCTCATAGTGACATGTGAAATTGGAAAATTGTTTAAAAAGATTATAAACAAGTATTACCAGCGCATTATAGGGCCTCTGAAAAAATCGACTGGTCCGCTTGAAACTTTGACCGTGTATTCGTATATTTCTGACAGTTTTTCGAAGAGTTCCATTGGAACTCAGTATAGCTTTGTCCCTTCGAATGGCTTTTAAACGACATTTGTGCGCTAAAATCCAAGATTCATCCACTGAATCAAAAACAAAGTTGTTAAACTTGAATCTCGAAGCATTCTTAACGAAACAAATAATTAAATTGATAGGAATAAATTTGAAAGAGTTAGTTTCACTGGTACTCTGTTCGAAAGCAACATGAAAGGCCGGAATTTAAAATATAATTATTTATCCGGTTCCCATGGTGTCAAGTGTAATTATTAAATGCTGATTTTGATCAAACTAACTCAGCAACAGTATACTTCTGTTATATCGGTTTTATTGCCGGTCAAAATGAAGTCATAAGTATTGAGCTAATTATACCATTATTATTAGATTAAAAGAATATAATATATTCCAGTATGCAGTATTTAGTTGGTATTTCATGTCGTTCCACTTAAATATTGGAATCTTTCTATTTCTTCTAGCCATGTTCGCTGTCCGTCTTTCCGTCCGTCCGTTTCTACGCAAACTAGTCTCTCAGTTTAAAGCTATCTGCTTGAAACTTTCCAAAAAGTTGTCTTTCTATTGCAGGTAGTATATATAGTATCGACTATATCATATGGCTTTTATAGGAACAATCGGAAATAAAATTCAAAAATATTATAACTTCGTTGATTTAATTTTTTTTTTTTACGATTTACTATTGTAATTAAATTAAAACCGGACATATAGCTGCATAGAAAAATCGAAAAATTAAATAGAATAAAAATGAAAAAATTGTTATTTTGGTGTTTTTTCTATTTAAAAAATATTCCTTTGAGATTTAGTATTTATTTACAATCACAGAATTACGCTTTTAGTTTTGTCAAAATCGGACAACAATATCATATAGCTGTCATAGAAAGCTTCATTGTGTTTAATAATATAGAAATCAAATGTGGGTGATTCGTAATAACTGCAAGGGTATAAAAACTTCGGCTTGCCGAAGTTTGCTTCCTTTCTTGTTTAATATAATTTAGATCAATTATTTAAAAAAAACCTTTTTCCCTACCTTGTGTACCAAATTGACTTTTTTATTATTTATTAAAGTTATATGTCGTAATTCATGCTGCATTCGGCATTGGTTTTTTCTTACTTATGCTTGGAAATGTTTCATTTTGCTTATTAGCTGCGGTCTTTGTCGAAAAAATACGGTTAAATTCTATGCAAACAAGCTTAAATGTACCTTAGTCCCCTTATCGTTTAGGCTGAAACACTTTTTAGTTCAGGGAAAACTCGAAAAGGCTACTCGACCCAAGATGGCCCATTGACAGCCTTTAGCATTGACCACAATGAAGCACAGTGGCAGAGCACCATTCAATAAGTCCTTTGGCCCCAACAGAAACCCCCAGTTTTCCAGCTACATCTATTGTTGTGGAGTATGAAAAACTAGGGAAAAGCGACCAACGAAACAAAACAAGAAAAATACAAAAGTAGCAAGGAAAAACTAAAAAGTGAACAACAGCGGTGGGAAAACTCCAAACAATTGGCAGCCGTCAAAGTGAGCGATTGTTTGAACGTGTCGGGACATCAACAGAAGGTCCAAGTGTACACTAAACCATGAAACTAATTCCCTGAATGCTTGACTTTTCACTTGGAGTGATCAGTTTGTTAGGCTGGTTAAAAAACAACTTCTAAGCAAAGTCATTTCAGTTACGAAATAAAGATTGTCTAAACCGATAGTCAATTATAATGTATAAGTCATTTCTATGCAAGTATGAAGCTAACTTAAAATAAATTACCTCCACCTAAAATAAGTATATGTTCTTTTAATGTTTCCATTAGTGTGCAGCCCATCTTATTCTAAAGTAATATATGAGCAATTTATCGGAGTTCACTTTGCACATTAAATGTTCCGGTTTTTATCAGGAAGTCCAGTTGGAAAGATAGGCAAAATGGGGAATTTTCCTCAAAGCTAAACCATTGCGGCATCAATTTTCCCTTTGAATAAAAGATTGCAAAAATGCGTTAGAATACAGATGCTTTTGTGCCATAGAAATTGCTATTCGAGAATGGCCAGAAACTTTCTTAAGATGTTGCCAGTTTTTTAACCCCCTCAAAAGCAGAGCTTAAGCAAACACCTGCCATTGAGTGAATATGTTTTCCATACAAATGCCATATAGATGGGCTAAGCGTCTTAAGAAAATTGTAATTTTGATGTCAAACAACGATTAAAAGCAACGAGATTACCTGATGCATATTGCATGAATGCATTTATTGTGTTTGCCCAGCGTCTCCTGGCTCCTTCGTCCTGATGGTATATCCTTTAAGAGGAGTGTCAGAGGGGGAGGAGGGGGTGTGGGAGTCAAAGCAGACATCGCTGAGCTCATTTGCACTTTGACGCGTCCTCAGCTCTGAATTCCATGACACGGCATCGTGTGGCAGGACAAAACAGGACGAAACTGCAGCGTCAGACAGGTGCAGGCAAAGGTGCAGGTGCAGCTGACGGCGATGACGATGTTAACGAGTCCACAAAACAGTTTCGAGGAACTTGGCACCCCCTTTGGACCCTCCCTGGCATTCCAAAAACCATTTGGCCCCATCGTTTGCCCCCGCAAATCGATGCAAATAAGCAAAGGCGACGCTATTGCCCAGTTTAGGAGTTGAGTCCCCAAAAGCCCAACACGCTTTGCTGCTCTTTCAGATAGTATGTTGATTGTAAACAGAAGGTTGGCCAGAGCACAGCTCTCAAATTGAATAATAATAATAATAATAATAACAATCAAGCCTTTAATTGCCTACACCAAATTGAGATTGACAAAATTAATTTGTGTTCAAATAACTAAATAACGGTCACATGTTTTTTGTCAAAATTTAGACATAATTAATACAAAATGAAGTAAATGGTTTTTACTGTTTATTATGATTTCTATATTATATTTTTTCGCAAAATTAAAACAAATAATGTATTAATTTGCATACTTTGCAGTTAGTACAAACTAAAATTTATTGAACTATACAGATTAAATTGTAAAACGTTTTAAAGCCTAAACAAGAAAAAGTGTTTCAAATTTGATTGATACATTTTGTTGCTTAATACTTGTTGGCAAATCATTATTGAAAAGACCAAAGTGGCAAATTTTCTTTACTCAGTTTTAGCTGCCATTTAAACGATCTGTCTGTCAGAGTATTTGGAGTTCCATAAGCCAGTCTTTTACACAGATATCTATGTTTGCCGGTTGCAAGTTGCTATTTCGTTTATTTTTGACTCGTGTTGTCGGTTAGCGAAAATTTCAACCGCAATGTTCAAAGCAGCAGCGGAACAGGAGGAGAAAATCTGTTAAAATTTCAGCAGTGGCAATAGGCGCTTAAAAAAGCTAATGGAACATATTGCTGCCGGAGCAGGGCCAAGCGGATCTTAGCCCACTCAAACCACGCCCAACCTCTCAGGCCACCACATATCCCCACAAAACCGAAGGGGTTTCGTTTGCCCATCGACCTTCCCACATGTGCTGTTCACTTAAACAAATTCACCCAGTATGGATTGGATCTGTGGAAATAAAATATTTTGGAACCTGATAATTTGTTATAAATTGTTACATATATTATATTTTAGAATAAAATTACTCATACGACACGTTGGTCTTGTCAAATATGTATTAAAGAAAAATAGCACAATAATTATCCTCATAGTGATAGGGATATGCTATTACCTCCAGGTAGACTTGGTGGTTTTTGATCTACCATTTTGTTCTAATTTGAATTAATTAGAACTGTAAAAACTCTGAAGATTTTTATTAAGTTAGCAAAACATAATAGAAATGAAACTAGAATGCACACAACTTAATTTTATGATATACCCACACTAGTCACATTTAAGTGATAAATTGATTGATTGATTGACAAAATGTAAAACACTTATTAATCTTTTGGTATTATAAGCATAAATTAATTTTGCTAATCGAATAGCTTAGAGCAGATTAAAAAAAATTTTATTTAATTGTATTATTTTTGAACAAAAAAATGTAAACAATTTGTATTTAATTGTTTTATATCTGTACAAAAACAAAGGGATAAAAACGCCCTAGCCTTTAAAAGTAAGTTATATTAAAATTAAATTAAATAGTTTAGAGCAAATCTAAATAAATTTAAATTCATAATTGAAATTAAATCCTTTAGGTAAATGAAAAGCTATTAGTAAATTTTGAGCAGTGCAGCCTCTCCACGTACAATTTCCGGCTGAACACA